TGTCAATTCAACCTTGGCGAGTTTCTCCTTAAAAATCGGGAATGAAAACTGAGTGGTCGATGTCACGGTCTGATCAAGTTGAGATGAAACCCTTTACATGTGCAATCAGAGTGAGTAGCAATTATCTGAGATATACTTCACTCAAATTGCCTCTGATTTGATATCAATAGGCCATAAACTAAGATTTGACCACGCGAATATTCATTTTCAATAAGACAGTCGGCGGATATTCAGTTCAGTCTAAATCCTCCGATGGAGTTACCTGCTGAGGCATTTGGCTTACATGCAATGTCTCACCGTCAAATTTGTTTGTATGTAACGGATTGGACTGATGTAATCATATTCAGATGCAACGAATTGATATTTCTACTTCAGGCATTGCACATTGCGCATAAGTAGGTTCGGGAACAATTATGTGTAAAATTCTACATTGATTATACCTGGAAATGGAGAAAATAAACAAATCGATTTTCGCTGAATCTTCCACAGCTCTCCGTTTGATTTGAAGTATTGTGGCATCCATATGATCCCTCAAACGAGAGAGGATTTGTTGGCCTTAAGAATTTGTAAACTATCTTCAGAACGAAACTGAGAATCCAGCATGCGACAGAGATAATACTGAGAAAAATTTTCCAAACATTCGACATTTCCTTCATCTTTATTCTGTCCACTCACGGCCTTAAACTGTGATCATGTTTCATATTTTTCCATTTATGATGGATTTTCAGTGAAGCAAGTTTTTCTTTACAGTAATGACACTTCGAGTGAATTTTGAGTCACTCTCATTTCCATTAGCCTCGATAGTACCAGACTCTGATATTTCCTGTACCACAGGTAGCCCATAAAATGAAAAGATACGTACTTTTGTAAGAAATGCGAAATGAAACACAGAATTGGTCGAAAGAAACCTCATAGATGTCTCAATGCCATATTGGATTTGTGCGTATTGTAACCTACATCCTCGTGCTCAATAACGACAGAGGAGACAGAACATGTGGCAGTGAGTGTGGAATAGAAGCGGCAATCGAATCGGGGTGCGATTTGTACTGTTCGGGAATTCCCATTAAGCCCATCTCTCTTGATATTTCTATTATTCTTTCAACATCTATACATCTATATCTATGAACCATCTTTTATTCCCCCCCCCCTTCGCCCCGCAGTTTAATGAATCATTAACTTCTATTATAATCAATCCATCAATCTGAAACTTGAAATTTTAGTGCAAAATCAATTATAACAATAGAACATTGTCAAGAAACGCTCAAAGAAAAAAGGGAGGGTAACGATAAAATCACACGTTTTCGTCTTCTATCATCACGTTTTACCTAAGAATATTTTGTGTTTTCTTCATTGCTACAAAAATGTGTGTATATTTTTGTTTTTGAAATTATTAAATTTGTTTTTCATTGCAATCAACGCAGTTGATTGCCTTCCCTTATATTATTAAGTATCTCGTGCTCTTGACTTGCTTTCCACTCTTAGCATTACTTTCTTCACACCCTTCCTTTTTTCAAGTCATCCAACTTGCATTACTTTTGCAGTCTATCATTCATCTGTTACTCATTCTACATTGTTCTTCTCTTGTCCAACGTTCATTGGATATAAGAGCTATTATGTGTATAATATCTAAACGAACACATATTATACTTCAATAACAATAATCACTCTCAACCTCAACCCAATGAAATTTTTTCTTTTTTAATTTTACAGAATTCAACTCGTCAATCCGACGCGTTCCGCGTTTCGTTCTTTAATTATAATTCTTCTTATTGAAAGAATTTGTCTTTCGTTTTTTTTCTATTTTGCGACATGATAATTTTTTTCCAAACAGTAGTTTCTATAATTGCATAGTTTACTCTCAGCCTCACTACTATTTAAATCTACTGAGTGTTGCATATATGTCAGTGTGGCTCACATTTTGGTTGGATTTTTTTCATTTCTTGACGTCGTACAGCCATTTTACCCATTGTTTTCTTTATTAGAAATGAAATTTCATGTTCTTATGCATCCGTAAGTGGGTTGTGTACGCCTACATTATTATTAAATCATCACGGTATTATTATTTCCTTATTTCATCGAATTTCATAGTCATCAATGCATTCATAATTCATTCTCCTCCAGTTATTTCAATTATATATTCTTACTAGCATTATTATTGTATTTGAAATATCGTTAATTGTTAGGGCTCTTCAGGAGAACTACTCAGTAACTATCTCATTTTCATTACTTCCCACTCCACTAACTTATTTTTACCGGTTGGTTCACATTATTCATATGTCGTTTCTTCTCACTTCAACTTAAAAACAACTCTCATCATATCACGATCAATTCAGTTCATTCATCATTTTCTATCACTCATATCCCTCTCTTCCTGGAAGAGTTGTCTTCATACAACGACAGTTGACAACATTGAAATTCTCTTCGTGTTTCACGCAGATATTTATGCCCTCCGTATACTCCTTGGATGCGGGAAAATTGATTAGATTGGTGATTGAACATTGAAAATTTCGCTTTAGGATTCCGGCGATTTATTAGTATCAAGTGTTTTTTATGCCAAACGTGGAAGTTCGTTTGGAGAGGGGCAATACAAGTTTACACTGATGAGAGAGAGAGAGAGAGAGAGAGAGAGAGAGAGAGAGAGAGAGAGAGAGAGAGAGAGAGAGAGAGAGAGAGAGAGAGAGAGAGAGAGAGAG